TCATCCACTGCATTCGGCCCCTTTGATCGAACGCCCACAGCAGCCGAGCCAGTTCGAGACGTCGCCTCCATATAGGGTCTTGCCTTATAGAGGTCTTCGCTCACAGCTAGGATTTGCATGCCCAATTGCATTACGCTGGCACGTAACGTGTTAACAGCCTCGGCCAGATGAAGTCAAGAAAATTTCATGATTTTCGCATGCAACTTTTGTATTCAAAATAGAAATTTAATTGCGAATAAATAATTACACAACAAACATCAAAATTTCAATTTAAGTGCAATTAATATTCGAAGCATGAACGCGATATGTCAAAATCCATTTGCCAACGACAGGTGCTGCTCGACTGCCACATACCCAGCACTTACTGCAGCTACTCAATATATGTCGAGAAAACTGAGGTAAGTTGTGCAAGGAGCGACTGCTAGATACCCTATGTTCTATTCATAACAAGTGCATAATGCAAACTCCATAATTATTGTCGTGGATAAGTTCTGCTCGACTTGCATATACCCTGCATTTATTGCAGCTCATCAATAAATAAAATAAAACTTAGCTAAGTTGTGGAATGAACAACTAAGGGATACCCTATATTCGAATACTAAGAACTACATAAGTGCTGCTCGGTTAGCATATACCCTGTAGCTAAAAAACATTAAAGATCTGTATTATAAACGACTATAAAATACCCTATATCTATTCCTTATATATGCTGAACATTGCTGTCATATAGTCTAGAGTTAAAAATACTAAAATGCTGTATAGTGATCGACTGTGAGATACCCTAAATTCCGTTCTTAAAAACTAAACAGCAGAAATTTCACAATTGTTTGCTTCGATAATTGCTGCTCGATTATCATATACCCTGTAGTATAAAACATTAGAGAGTTGTGTTCTAATCGACTTCAAGTTACCCTGTATGTTATTTTAAAGTGCATATTTGTTGATAATTGCTGTTCGACTAGCACATACCCTCTATTTATGGCAAACACTGCAAATTATAGAAGAAAACACTAAAAAGTTGTATAGTGATCGACTATGAGTTATCCTATATTATATGCCAAGCAATCACAGCAGATACTTCTTAATAATTTTCATTAATATTTGGTGCTCGACTGGTATATACCCTGCAAATCACTAAAAGTGTGCTTATGCCAAGAAGCGATTGGCTTCAAATACCCTATGCTCTATTCTAAAGAAGTATTCGTTTGCACAAGCCAACATAGCAGAATATATGAGTCACAATTGTACGGGGCTGCTCTTTGATGATAATAGCATCAAAGCTGATTAACTAACCCTTAATAATAAGCTAAATGTTACCTAACCCTAAATATAGTCCTTATATCTTGGTCAAGTATTTCAATCACATGAATCTGGCATGAATTATAGCTTTTGACTTTTGCTGTAAGATAAGTACCAAGAATTGTACGGTGTTTTTATTGATTAATTTAGACTTGGTTTTAATATCGCCGACGGGAGCATTGTTTTGTTTGTTCTTTTTCGATTTGTGTACAAAATATTCATTAACCTGAACAAATGCTTACAAATTAGATATTTGCATTCATTAATTTGTATATTTAATGGGAGCTCGACAAGTTTTAGGCCTTAATTCGAACTGCGATTATAATTTAGGTAAAAGCAAAATCAAAATAATCGCGAACGAGTTCGAAGCAATTCAAATCGAAACGAAAGTAATTGCCGATTAGCTAACAAAAATATTTTATTTGCTGCCATTGCGCAAACTGTTTGATTCAGCCATAAACATATTGCATTACCCAGACGCATTGCTCATACGCCCAGTGGTACGCTTCGCTACACTTTGTTTTCTTAGACAATTAACAGCTATGGGCATGTAAAAAGGTCTCTCTTTCTCTGCCTATCTACCTCTACCTCTCTGTCTGCTTACCTCTCTTTCTTGTTCTACATATTTCTCTTTCTCTCGCTCTCTTTCTCCCTCTTTCCCTTTGTATATATATTTTTTTCTCTTTATATCTCTCACTCTCTCTCTCGCTCTCTTTGTCTCTCACACATTCTTTATCTCTCTCTCTCTCTCACACACACAGTTCTTTTCACCCTTACTAGTTAGGCCTTAATTCGAAATATAAAGCCATTGAAGATCTTCTCGATTTCGAACTTCAGATCCACGATCTTCGCCCAATTGTTGCCATTGCCTAATCAGCTATCAACGAGAGTGTGCTCGCTGTTGCCGTTGTGTTGCAGCTGTTGCTGTTGTGGCGTTGCTGTGTGGTACTTTGTCATCGGGCTGGCAGCAGCACTTCCAGCTGAGCACATGCACACACGTGGGCGTCTGGCAGTCCAAGCTGCGCGAGTCCAAGTCCAAGTCAATGACAGGCTAGAGCGATGCATTTCACTTCGCATGTCTCATGTCTTATGATCATGTGTGTCTTGTGTGCTGTATCTAGTGTTTGCTGCTTGTCATTTGCCATTTTTCACACTGCAAGCTGCTGGCTGGTAGCTGTAGGCGAACGCCAAGTACAAAGATAAACATTTTGCATGGCCATTGCTAAGACTCACATAATTACAAGAAGCTGCCGTCGCTGCGGACGCCAGACAACCCGACAGCAGAGGCAACAACTGACAACGACAAATTTGCCAAACAATGCAGATCGCAGGGCACGAAGTCGCCAAATGTCGCATTGATGGAACTTTTTCTTTTGTCGGCCACTGGCTGCATGCAGCCCCCCAACCCCCAGGCCTCAATTCCAAATTCCCAATCCCCATTCAAATCTCAAGCTGCCTCTCTTTCTCCCGCGCTCTGCGCAATGTGGCAATTACGGGTCTCGACTCGTGCCACGCGTTTGCGTTTACAATGCCAGCAAATTCTGCACTTTGCAGCTGAAACTTGTTGCCGCACTGGCTGCTGGCTGCTGCTGCTGCCGGACTCTGACTCTGATGTGGTCGAATATGGGTTTTGTGAGTACAGTAGAACCACCTTAATGTGCACTCACTTCACTTGAATATCGTATACCTATACACAGTAGCTCCCTCTCTCTTTCTCCTTATTTTTTTTAGCTTTATTTCTATCTCTCTCATTCCATTTATCTCGACCTTAATCGATGCATTTCATCTTTGTCTTTCACCTCTTTATATCATCATTAATACTTTTTATGGGTAGTTTTTTAAACTTCTCTCTGTCTCCCACCCATTTTACCTCTCCTTCTGTCCGTGTCTCTCTTTTTTACATCGTTTTTTCCCCATTTTGTGTATGTCCCTAATCGATGTAATGTTTTATTGACTTTTTTCCATATCATTTTCTCTTTTATTCTAAAAGCTTTCGTCTTCATTTAAAATCTCTCTCCCTCTCTCTCTCTCTCTCTTGCTATTCCTTCTCTCTTCACATTTTTTTGTAGTATTTTAATTCTTTTTCACAATTGTTTTGCCCTATCAAATATATATTTTATATTTATTCACGATTCTTAAATCATGAATGATTCATTAATTTTAAAATTAAGTTTTTAAGATATTTATTTTTGTTTATTATATTTAAATTACGTATCTTGATCAATGTTTTAAGCTAGAAATTCATATATTAGCAAATGCTTTTCCAGCTTATCGAAGGTTCTTGCAGCAGTTGCCCAACTGTATCACAATGGACAATAACTCCACAACAGATTTGTGTGTGTGAGTGTATGTGTATATGTATGTATACACTGATATACACACACACATACACTCGCATGCATACATATGCCTATATGCATGCACACATGTGTGTTATGTATGCAGAGATGTGCATGTGTGCTTATGTATATTCACATTCACACATACATGCACATATACACATGCACAGATACATGCACACATGTATGTAGCAAGTAGTTTTTTCGCTGCAGACGGACAGTCACAAATTGTTTGGCAAAGACCAAGAGATTGCCAAAATGGAGCAGCAGCAGCAGAGGTGAAGCTGGAGCTGGAGCTGGAGCGGGAGCTGAAGCTGGAGCGACACAGTTACAGTTACAGTTACATTTACTGTTACAGTTACAGTTGCAGTTGCAGTTGCCGCGATGGCAACGGCTTAGCGTTGAGCTCTGCGAATGGCGATTTTGTTGTTTTGTTTTGTTTGTTTATCTTATTTTTATTTTGGCAGCAGGTTCACAACGAATGCGGCATGCGCTGCACGTGAGCCTGGACAACTGGCAACGGGCAACGGGCACTGGGCAACTGTGTGACATGCCACATAGAGCCGCCATATCCGAATTGGCCATGTGCCGCACGCAGCTAAGAGCAGAGCACTATAAACGAGAGCAAAAGCAGTCACAGTCGTTGTTGTTGTTGTTGTTGTTGTTGTTGTTGTTATTGTCTTGGCTTTCGGTCACCGATTTGTTGTTGTTGTGGTTTTTGGTTTCTGTTTTCTTAGCAGTTTAGCGCCCGTTGTCGTGTCCCCGATGCCCGGTGCCAGTGTCCACGTACCAACATTGGCCTAATGTTGCACATTGTGCGCTGATCTTGTTTATTATGCAAGAAAGCTGCCAAAGTAAGCCAGCGACAACGGCCACAACAACAACAACAACAACAACAACAACAACTAAAGTATAAAAGAAAAGTATTATACAAAAAAGTCTCGAAACTTGCATACAATTAAAAGAGCTCATAACTTATCGATGACAGACGATCTTGAAAATTCCAATTACAAATTTTCCTCAATCAAAATGTAGACGAAACTTAAGAAATTAAACGGTAAAGCAAAGTTTTTAATTACGATTTCAAACAATCGCTAAAGGCAGCATTCAGAAGAGTGTGAAACGAAATCTAAATACCAAGCTGAAAGATCAAATTATCAATCACGCTCACAGATTTAATATATTTTCACTAGATCCATTAAAAAAACCCAAGATAAAGATATATATGTTCGCATTCAATTTGATAAATTGAATTGCGCAAAATGAAAAGTTTGGAGTACTTTCACATACTCGAGGGCGCAGTGCACATACAAATGCCCAATTTTTGAGGTCGACTTTATTAATATGCATATGACAAAATACCTTTTTCCAGTCGCCGTGCGCTGCCCCAACTATTTCACTTCACTTGATGCACAAAACAAAAACAAATAAATAAACATCAATTAAAGTTTACAATAAAAAACACGCATCGAGCGCACACATAAATAGAGCCAAAATGAAAGGCAGCGCGTGCCAAAAAGTCGTTATTTGGTGCTCCGATCGATCGCACCGTTTTCAAAAGAACCGCCAAACGCGATAGAGGCAAACAGCTATAGCTATGGCTACAGCTACCGTCTATTGTCTACTGTCTACTGTCAGTGGCTACTGGACTGCCAGCAGAGAACTGCGAGCAGCGAACAGTGCGCTGCGTCGGCAACGAAATGGAAACGAAACGTGACTGCATGGAAAACGAAACGAAATGAAACGAAATGAAAGTGGGCGTTAAGCAGGGTGCGTCGCCCATTGGGGAAAACAAACTGAAACTGCAACTGAAACTGGAACTAGTCCAAATGGTTCTGCGCTGACGCGACATATGGAACTGGGTCAGGTCAAAGGGTGGTGGCGCACATAGCTTTTGGCCAAGCAACTATTCAGTTGCGTACGAAAAAAATGTATGCAAAATGCAATCAGACAAAAGAGTTTATAAAAATAACGAAATCAGAGCAGCTCCCTTAAATGGGAAAAACAAAGTTCAAAACTCCTACAACACTAGAAATGTTAAATAAACTTAATTTTATATATATAAAGATTTTTATTTATTTTCTATACGAAGGTGTATAAATCTATAAGCATACATGTCATTAAGCCAAGGTTTCAACGGGATAAGCCAATGACAATGCATATGGTAAGCTTCTAGTGCTGTGCAGCTCATACAAGGAACACGGCTTGACAACGGCTGATGAGATGTCTTAGCGCCCTGAGTTAGGCTCTATTTGAGCAGTATCTATTGAGCAGTCTTACACAATTTGCAGCCTAACATAAAGTTGATATGATTTTGTAGCTCTCCAATTAAAAATCGTCGGCTAACTCTATTCTTATTTATAAAAAACCTGATACTTGTTATTTGCACTAAAAGTATTAATAACACCAGCTTTTGTAGGCACACGTCTTAAGAAGGTAAAGAAAAACTCAGCTCTGATCAAAAATATATATATTTCTTGGGCTCGACCATGCCAACTGCTGATTGTTAGCTAAAACATTATTCAAACTAAAGGTGGGCTGCGAAGGGTATAAGAGAAAGATCCTTGAGCTGCTCTAGTACTGAAAAAATATATTTCCAGATCAAGCAGGAAAACTTTTGGCTCAATGCCAGATTTATGCTGGTTTATCTAGATTCAGAATAGAATTAAAAAATGTTCCGCTTTTAATGCACTTCCTGTCAGGGCATGGCAACATATTTATGCCACCTGCCACGCATTTGTGTGTGGGGCAAGGTCAACGAAAAGTTGACAGCTCGAATGGCCACCGGTGAGCATCGATGGCCGCATGCATCGCCTTGATTGTTGCGGTTCAGTGCAACTGGCTCGGAAGTGATTCTCCGTGCTAAACTGCCCTACCCCAGTGTATAATGATGCAGTCACAAAGCATGTAACACCTGCCAAAGCAGGTGCTTTGGAGTTTGAGCTACATGATTGTTATGGACTGCAATCAATATGGAGATAGAGAGTCAATAAAAGTTTTCATTAGATAAAGACCAAGGATGTAGACAAGACATAAATAGAGATAAGCAGACAGAACAGTGTGAATGAATTACGTTTGTAAGAGTATTCGATATGCGACTAGCAATGCTGTGCGTTCTAAGTGGTTCGCTTTGTTCGCACAGCTTGGAGCTTCCTCTGGGGGCAGCTGAGTGTGCAGCGTTGCAGAAAACTAGACGCTTGGGAGCTCTGAGACACATTTGTCCAAGACTTTGGCCTCAAGTCTGGCATAAATTAGATCTGCGATAGCTGCGATTGCGACTGCGACGGGCAGTCTACTTGGATGAATATGATTGGAATTTATGTCTGATATAGGTTTAAAGACGCATTTATAACATATCATATAAAGCTATCGAATTGTGGCTATAATTAGAGAAGAATTAATCAGCTTACCTCAATATGTGGCTGGAATTCGGCTTGGCTCACCGATCGGGATACCAGATCTAAAACAGGTTGAGCCAAAAAGTAAAAAAATCAATAGCACATCACACTACACACACGGACACACACACACGCACACACAAATATTCTTTGTTGTGGCAGAGCAAAAAGTGCGCACAGAATTATCGAAAATATTTGTTTAGCATTATTCAAATTGTAAATCGTAATTCATGTCGTGTATCAAAGTCGCAAAAAAAAACCATAAAAAAAAAAAGAAATGAAAACCGATGTGGAAAAGTTGTTATCAAGCTGAAATTAACAACATTTAACATGCGACGATTAATCAAATAAATAACTGTTGTTTGCGGTTAACAAAAATTATTATTATAATAATGATGGTACAGGGCCATTAACCGACTTGGCTAATTGGCAGTCGCGAATTAAATTGACACTCGTTCGTTTGGGCTACCGGCGAAATGGATGTGGAGAGCGACGTCCACTTCTGCCTGGAAATCACTTGTGACACTCCTTCGCCAATCGAACAGTCAATGACGATTCGAATCCACTTGGCGCGCCAAACACTCAAAGTTCGCAATTGATAAAAAAAAGCCGTCGTCAGTTCGCTAGTTGCTCAACTCTTTCGATATTGTTTATTTCTCTCTCCCTCTCTTTATGTTCCGAGTTCACGTCAGCTCTGGCCGAATGCACAACACCGACTAAAGCGCACATTGCCCATGTGATAAAGCCCAAGTTGAAGCCGAAGCCGCAACCGAAGCCGAAGACGAAGACGACGACGAAGACGAAGACGAAGGCAAACACAAAGGCAAAGCTCTGAAGCGTTTGTCAGTGGAACAAAGCGCATTGCGACTTAAGCTGCGTTCACACCAGCTTTGGCGAGACTTTCAGCTTGGCATAAAAAATGCATTAAATACATATTTATAAATATATATTAAATACAATTTTCAATGATTATTTATATATTGAATTTGTATGAGCATAAATAAATATATTTGTATATATTAATTATAATTTATATGTATATAATCGAGTTCTTCTCTATGCATCAAGTTTTTGTAGAGTTATACATGTTTGAGTGATAATAAAACAAAGAAATACATTGTTACCATCAATGAAACGACCTTTATTTGATAGAAAATTGTATGACACTATTGTTTAAATATAATTATGATCTGCCAACTAAAAGTTATGAATCTCTAAAATATTATATGTTATATAAACATATATATGTATGTGTATATTATATACATCATTTTTTTATTTTGACATATTTTTATATTATTTCAATTAATCATATTTCAATTTATATATAGAGTTTCTGTTCATTGTCAACACATTTTATTTAGAATCTAGTCTGACCAATCAACGAATTTGGCTCTACTTTCTTTCCTGGAAACGAGCTGACCCACAATTTAGAACTTACGACTTCTCGGTTATATAAATGACATGATGCGCGGCATTAACTAATGGCCACAGCTGTCAGCATTTATCATTTGTGTAATTTTCACAATTTGCTCTACATGACGATAGCCGATGATAGTTATCATCGGTGCCGAAAAGTTAAATGAAATGACAGCCAAACAAATACAGACTTAAAGTATCTACATAAAGTAGAGCGCCAATATATTCTATAAAGAATACAGTTATTGGTGCTCTACTTTATAGACATATATATTTAAGAAAAACCTTCATTAATCAAGCAATTTCACATGATTAACTATATAGAATTTCAATACTTCTGTTCTGTTCAGCTAAACGGCGCGTCTGACGTCTCGCAACAAATGGAAACGAAATAAGTTGCCACTGAAACGAAACGAGATGTGAAACGTTACATGCAAGAAGAGGAAAGAGAGCAGGAGAACAGCGAGCAGGGAGCAGGAGGCGATTGCATATCGTAAATATGCTAATGATAAACAATCAACATTAAAACATTTAGCGAAATGTTTCGCTGTCATTGTGGGCGCAAGGATACGAACGTTAACTTGTCCAACTCGATTACAATTTATGCAAATTTTGTTCATTATGAAACTTGGCTAAGTCGGTGGACAAAGAGTTATTGCATTAGTTATTGCCAAAGACAGATAAGTGTGACCGTATGCAAATAAGAATGCAAAATATGTAACATACTAGTTGAGAGCGAACTCTTGTTAATCTTCCAGTTCATATATATCGAGAAATTTCTTCAAATATTCTATGGTATCTTCGCGGACGGACAGATAGCTAGAAGAAGATGTCTAAAACCAATATACACTTCTAGTTCGTCAGTATCAAATAGGGTATTTCTAATTTGTATATAGTTTTTGAGCATTTCAATACCAAAATTGAGATTGCTTTAAGAAATTATTATATATTATAACATATGTAACTATATATATGAAGATGTCTATTTTACATACATGATTTAAATACAGGTTATTATTTGTAATTTAACAAATTAAATTCTAATATTAAACTTAATACATAATTTCACAATAACTATCTATGTTTTATGATATATATTTATATATTTATTATATATATATAACTATATATATATATATATATATATAAATAAATATATGTGTCCATGTATCCACAATTTTTTAAATGTTTATAGGAGAGATAATAATGTCAATTTATTTCCTTTTCTTTTAAATCATTAAACATAGATACTTATTGTGTTTTTTTTAGAGGCTTACAGCTTGAAGTTATCAGCACTACTGTATTCAATAACCCAATTAATAACTCATAGTTGCCTTTTGTTGAACTTGGCTTATCATTTTATTAAATGTTTTATTATGATTTAAATTTATGCAATTCTTAAAAAAAAGATTAAATATATAATTCCATTAAGGAAATAAAATTTCAAATATTCATCGTATGGAGCAGTTCATTCCCGACTCATGTTAACTTTACCCAAATTTGACTTGAGTTTAAGCAATGTTTCTCAAAGGAATTATAAATGAGAGAAGGCTCAACAGTGTTTTGTGTAGGTACACCAACGCTACGTCCCTAAAAGAGACTTATATGTAAGTAGTCAGTCCACTGCCTATGGCCAAGCCCAGACAGACACTGGATG